GATCCTTCAACTATATGGTGTCACTTTGTTGAGTCTCTTGACTATTAAAAATTACAAATGATCATCTGACTATTCATATGTTCCAAACTCGTCATTTTCTGTTAAAAAATTGACGATAATATGAGTTGGACGTTAACCTACTGACTGAGATATATTAAAATATGATATCAGAATTTCAAACGACTATCATATCTCAGTCAGCAGGTTAACGTCCAGCTCAGAAACCATCAATTTTTTTTTTACAAAAAAGAACGAATTTGGAACATATAAATAGTCAGGTGATCATTTTATAACTTTTAATAGTCGAGAGACTCAAAACAATAACATCATATAATCAAATGACTATTTTATAACTTTTAATAATCAGATAACTCAAAAAAAATATCATCCTGTAGCGAGGGATCATTTGTACACTTACCCAATTCTAAAAAGAAAAAAACACTTAAATATTACATAAAATATCAATCAGTTAACTATGAAGTACCCTTCTAATATTTTTTATTAAGCACATTTTGTTGGCATTTAAATAAGATTCTATGAGGTTTTTTATTATTATTATTTGACAATTACTTGGATTTTTTTATCGAAAATTTTAAAATATAACTTCTTAATATAAGATAAAAATGACATAAATTAATTGTAATGGAAAATCTTATTAATAATATATCTTTTAATTTGGATAGAATAATATTTTTAATTAAAAATCGTATTAAATTAATCTTGAATTAAAGTTCTGTACAACAAAATTACCCTTTTATATGGTTTACTGGTTTACACATTTTTCCAAGTTGTCGTGGGAAATAAAGTTTAAATATAAGGCTAAGCTGCATATTTGATGACTTTTGTTTTATATTTTATAAATGGGTAATTTATGTCAAATGTCACTCATCTTTAAGCTCGGGCTCGAAAATACCATCGATGTTTTAATTTTGTCAATTTTAGCACTGACGTTTATGTTTCACTACAATTTTGCCACTCCGCCGTTAATCCGTTAACGGAACGATGACATGACATATTTTTTCCGTGATGGCGATGACATGGCACACTCATCAAAACGACGTCGTTTTGGCACGACCGTTTTGATGCTTAAAAAGATCAAAACTTCGTCGTTTTGTTGATGAAAAATATGTTTTTCATGAGATTTGAACCACGGACCTTTAGAATCCAAATCTAAATACCCAACCACCAAACAAACTTAAGAACTTGCTATAACCTTAACAAAACTATTATAAAATGTTCATCACTACCACCGTCACCCTCATTATCTTCCTCATCATCTTCTCTTAAGAACTTAAGAACTCTGGAACCGTGTGGCGCTTCAAACGGTGGAGCTCACCAGGGAAACGAGGGATGTGATGATCGAGAAGGACATCTTTCGAGAGTTTTTGAGGAGTATTTCCGAGCTGGACGTGCTTTTGGGGTCATTAAGTGTATGGAAAATAGAAGCTGCCAGGGGATCGGACTTTACCAAGGCGGCACTGGAGAAGTTGAGTGGCTTGTTACGAAAAGCTTCCAAGATAATCGATGATTATAAGTCCAGTAGCCGTCTTCGGTTCTTGCTTCACTCGCATTCGGTGCTTTCACAGATACAAGGTCTAGCTAAAGATATTGCCTCAACTAGGGGTGTTCATTCGGTTAAAACGGTGGCCGACCGAACCGAATTAACCAAACTTTTTTTTTCTTTAACCGTTAACCGAACCGAATTTTTTTTCGAACATATTAACCGAACCGAATAAATTTCGGTTAATTCGGTTAATTCGAATTAAAAATTTAAATATATAAAATGTTTATAATTAATTTAATTTAATAAAAATAATTTATTGATTTAAGTTTAAAAGTTATTGGATCTTAAATTATTAATTGAGTTTTAAATGGTTTGGGCTTAGCTCATATGTTATATATAATATATTTAATATTTTTTAATTAAAAAACAGTTTACAATTAATTTAAATGATATATAATTATAAAATAAAAAATTTATATAATTTTTTAATTAATTAATATTGATTTAAGTTTAAAAGTTATTGGATCTTAAAGTATTAATTGGGTTTTTAATGATTTGGGTTGAGTCCATATGTTATATATAATATATTTAATATTTAAAATTTAATTTCGGTTAATTCGGTTAATTCGCTTAATTAACCGAATTCGAACCGAATTAACCGTTAACCGAATTCTAAAATTTTCTTAACCGTTAACCGACCGAACTAAACCGAATTAACCGAACTAATTCGGTTCGGTCGGTTAACCGAATTAATTCGGTTATTTGAACACCCCTAGCCTCAACCATTTCCTCGTTGCGACCGAAACGATTGCTGCGGAAATAGAGAATTCGATATCCCAAAGCAGTAGAAACTGAGACAATGCTGTAAAGCTTCTGGAGAAGATCGCCGAAGCCGTTGGTGCTGATGCTAATGCATCTTTGGTACAAAATGAATTGGCACTTCTGAAGCAGAAAAAAGAAGAGATGGAAATTCAAAAGAAACAAGCAGAGGCGCTTCAACTTTCCCAATTGATACAGTTGTTGTATAATACCGAAATCGTTTCGAGTCCACAAAGCGAGGAGACCCTGACATATCATAAGCAATACCCTATTGGTTCCTTCATATGCCCCTTGTGCAATGAGATGATGGTTGATCCGGTTGCAGTCATTTGTGGCCACAGCTTTGAACGGAAAGCGATACGGAGATACTTCTAGAGTGGAAAGAAGGATTGTCCTACTTGCAAAGAAGAGCTTCAAAATTTGGAGCTAACACCAAATGTTAACCTTCGATCCTCAATAGAAGAATGGAAGAAAAATGATATGGATTGGAGATTTCAAGCAGTAGTCTCCCGAATCAACTCCGATGACCATCTAAGGAAAACGAAGCCTTGGATGATATGCAGGTTCTCGTGTAAACCCCTCAATATACTGTGAGAGCTGCAAAGGAGGGGCTCTTCCCGAAGTTTGTCAAATCATTAAAAGATGCTAGGGCTTAACGTCATGGCAGCTGACAAATGCCTTTATTGCTTAGCTAAATATTGCCATGATCATAAGGTAAGAATTGGATTTGTGTTTTTACTTTTAACATGTTGAATATCAAATGTCTGAAGAGTTCCTTCTTGGAATTGCAACAAGAAATTGTTGCAGCAGGAGATAATGAGGGTGACGGTGGTAGTGATGAACATTTATAATAGTTTTGTTAAGGTTATACCAAGTTTTTAAGTTAGCTTGGTGGTTGGGTATTTAGATTTAAATTCTAAAGGTCTACGGTTCGAATCTCATGAAAAACATATTTTTCATCAACAAAACGACGTCGTTTTGAGCTTTTTAAGCATCAAAACGATCGTGCCAAAACGACGTCGTTTTGATGAGAGTGTCATGTCATCGCCGTCACGGAAAAAAGATGTCATGTCATCGTTCCGTTAACGGATTAACGGTGGAGTGGCAAAATTGCAGTGAAACATAAACGTCGGTGCTAAAATTGGCAAAATTGAAACGTTAATGGCATTTTCGAGCCTAAGCTTAAAGATGCCATGTCATCGTCCCGTTAACAGATTAACGGCGGAGTGGCAAAATTACAATGAAACATAAACGTCAGTGCTAAAATTGGCAAAATTGAAACGTCGATGGCATTTTCGAGCCCGGTCTTAAAGATGAGTGGCATTTGACATAAATTACCCTTTATAAATTTATGGGCATTGGATTCAAAATATATAAGATTTTGTCATTTTCGTTTCGTTTTAATTAAGATGTGATCACAAAGGCGTTGGATACCGTTAGTTTAATGATGTGGCACGTTAATAAAATGATTTAATTTTTATTTTAACTTTAAATTTATATAAAATACTATTTATGAAATTTTTTATAAATATAAAATAATATACGGCATCTAACGTTAATAAAGATTATAAAACTCATGTGGGAAATAACGTTTAAATATAAGGGTAAACTAAATACATATATAGTCACTTTTGTTTGAGTTTTATAAACTTATGGTCACTAGATTAAAAAAAATAAAAGATTTGGTCATTTTGTTTCGTTTTAATTAAGACGTGATCAATAAGACGTTGGATGCCGTTAGTTTGATGATGTGTCATGTTAGTAAAATGGCTAGAATAAAAATTAATGTTTAAAACTAAGTAGTATTTCATCTAAACCATTTTACTAACGTGCCACATCATCAATCTAATGACATCCAACATCTTTGTGACCACATCTTAACTAAAACGAAATGAAAGTGACAAAATCTTATGTTTTTTTTTATTTAGTGACCGTAAGTTTATAAAACTCAAACAAAAGTCACCAAATTTATAACTTACCCTAAATATAGTTATGAATTTGTATAAAATCTTGATTAAATACTATATACGATTTAGTATTTTATCAACGATCATAAAAGTCAAACGTAAAATTTTATGTTTGATGTTTTAAGTCACTCTTTATCTCACATTCCTTCAAAAATTAACATTAAAGCCTTCTTTTAAAACAAATGATTGTATATATATAAGATAGTAAATAAACTTTCTTTGAAGTTGTCACTTTCCGGGCTACCAAACAAGATTAGGTGGTAATTCCTAAACTTTGAGATTTGAAACCCCCTGTTAAAAAGTTGGTGTTTAATCTTTTCAAATAAAATAATAAAAACCAATATTGCAGCTGACCAAATCGAAAAGCATCTTCGCATTGGGAGCAAGGAAGGAAGATATATTAGTAGTTTAAGTTATCCATTTCCAGTTTCTGGCATCCATTATTTCACCATGAAATTGCTTGGAAATGCTACAAATAGTATACAGTTTCTCAACAAGATTTATGGGAAAACCTTCATGGTATGGACTTGATCAAATTTGCCACCTCTTCTTCCCCGACCGATCGAAATGATTGGTCGTACTTGAGCCGGTGTCAAAAGCTGCATGCTGCAAATTTTCCTTATCTGTTTCCACTTTCCACTAGTTCCCATATGGTGTAAACTCATTATCTATTACGGTTCGACAGTGTACTAAATAGTGAAGGCTTCAGCTTTTGCAATCAGCAATTTCAATACTTTGAACATTTGCATTTCTTGAAGTTCTTTAAGTTGCAGAAGAAATAACAAGGAAAGAAATGAAGCAAATCTTGACATAAGTTTTTTAAGTGACATCTTGACAGTGCAGCAAATCTTGACAAAATTTACCTAAACCTACAGTGTTGTCTTCTTCAGAGCTTGACTTCCACATCAACCCCAGCAGGAAGGTCAAGTTGCATCAATGAATCGATTGTTTGCGCTGTTGGGTATAGAATATCAATAAGGCGCTGGTGTGTCCGAATCTCGAAGTGGAACCTTGCATCTTTGTGAACGTGTGGTGATTTAAGGACACAATAGATCCTCTTCTTGGTTGGTAATGGCACAGGTCCCATCGTCTTGGCATTGGTAGTTCGAGCGGCATCCAGAATCTGCTTGCAAGAGTCCTCGATCAAGGGGACCCAATATGACCTAAGTTTAATCCTAATCTTCTGCTTAGGTGCCACCTGCGAAAAGAATTTAGAATAAGATTTTCCGATTTAGCCACCAGAAAGCAAGATCAAAATATAGTCAATTAAGACAGAAATTTAGAACACATCATTGAACCCAGCATGAGACAAGGACAATAGAAGACACCGGGAAAGATTTTATGTCTAGGAACGGTACATTCTAGGCCGACCGGCACCGACTAACAGGGCAATTGTTCTTCTTTACAATGTTTGGTAAAGGTCGGGTACAATGTCCGGCTCAAGCGGGGAGAATCGGTATTTTAAACTTGGGATCCACCTCGCTCTCTATCCGATCATACTAAATCAATCAAGTCCTCTAAGGTGAAGGTACGATTTTCTAGTGTAGTTAACTTCATCATTAGACTTCTAGTGATTTCCAATCACTTGGAATCTCCATCGACTTAAAAAATCAACATGGCTAATAGCAAGCCCCGTGTAAATTACAGTAGATTGCTCTTCGAAAGCATGCAGTTCAGGTGCTTGACGGGCCACATGACATAATTCTCTCCTAGCAGTATAGTATTTCATGGCTAGAAGAGGCAAGCACTGACCCCATGACTCATCCTTTTATTTTCACCATACATGCAAAGAGAGAACAGCAATAAAATCAATACCATTACTCCTCCTCCTTCGTACCGTTCGAAAATGAAAACATTTCCAGGCAACCCTTATTCTGACTAGCAAGATGCCAATAAGGCCAAGATTATCTCACATACAATCAATAGGATACTTGATTATCACCATATGTGGAAAGAGACGACAGCAGCAGTCCATGAGCACTGACAAAACTGACAAAATCACCAAAAATGATTCGACATATATAAACTTTTTACAGAGTATACATATCATCCAATTCTTAAAGAGACGTAGTAAGCTAACTGGAAAAGGCATAGCCTTAAAAACTGTCCTATAACCTTCTAGTAGCATCAATAGAATCATATTAGAAGATAGCTGATGTACTTATATTATCATCAAAGGGGAAATCTCATACTACATCTAAATATCTTTTTCAGCGAGGTTAACTCCAGAATTCGTTCGAGCTGCATCACAGTTTTAAACAAGTTTCACTATCCCCAAATATATACCTTGTCCGCTTCTAAGGTAACAGATGAAGATGCGGGCACTTCAGAGCCCCCAACCTGCAAGCAAGACACAAAATTAACTTCAAGGGAAACTGAAAGCAAAATTAAGCTAACTTCTGGTGCTCAGGGTTTCATATTGAGTACAACAGTAATGAGATAAGCACATATGAACAAAACAGAAATGGTAAAAATTCACTTTTTGCTGTCACGTTTATTGGAAATCAAACTTGTAGAAACCCAACCCCATCAAACCCAAATTCAACTAAGCTCACTTTTTGGTGTTCAGGGTTCCAAATCAAACTGCACAGTAATAAAATAGGCAACGCGGACGTAAGATTTTTTACCTTAGGTACGAACTTTTAAAATTTTAAGGACAGACTTGTAAAATTTGAAGGAAGACGAAAACAGATTTTCACTGCTCACAATTCTTAGCAAGCAAAGAAAGAATTACTCCCAAATGCAGTTCTAAAACCTTAACCCCATCAATTCCAAAGCACTAAATGCATAAAATTAAATTCCCAAGTTCTCAAAATAAAAATAAAAACTTTTTTTTGAACCTCGGGTGTCTCTACCAAATCTTCAGGGGCGGCAAAAACCTTTGTGGTGGACTGTGAAAGTCTGTAGGAACAATTGGGGAGCTTCAAGGGGTTGAAATAGAGTGGTGAAGACCGAGATAGAAAGCTGAATCTTGGTTTGGGTGAAGAAGAATTTGGAATTGTTAAAGAAGGGAACAGAGTTGAAGAGATTGATGATACCGCCATTGCAAATTTGAATCTTGGGTTGGAGAAAATGAAAAGGAAAAGAGAGATGTTAAGGTAGGAGAAGCTGTGCGTAGGTCAGTCACTGGCTCACCATTGTTATCCGAAAAGTTTATTTTCTTCTTCATATACAAAGAGGTTTTCAAAAATGGGCCTAAGGTAGTGGCAAACCCAAAATGAGACCCAATTGGAATATCTTGGTATCCGTATCTAATAATTTGAGGGTCTAATCATTTTTTTATTTATAAATTTATTTAATAATATATTGATATTAAATTATTATTTTTACATAAAAATATGGAATGAGCTTAGGCAGGAAAGTTTAAGTATATAAATTATTCAATTTACCAAGTGACCTTCATAGTTAAGATTTGTTTAGGTTAGGAGTTTATCATACGAAGAATTATTTATTTATAATTATTAAAGTTGGTTGTACATTTGTATGAAATATGCTATATTTTTAATTAAAAAATAATATTTGTTGAATGAAAAAATTGATGTTTACGAGTATAATATATAAATTAGAGATAAAAAGTAATAGAAAGTTGAAAGTCAGTAAAATGTATAAGAACAAGAATGAATAATTGGAAATAAAATGAATAAAAAGTGAAATATAGGAAAAAAGTAAATATAGAATGTAAACAAAAAATCTAGGTTTTATTGATATGTTTTATTTTCATTGATTTTGTGTGTTTTAAGTTCTAAAAATCTATGGGACTCGTATTGCCAAAAAAAAAATAACACCTTTTTTTTTAATCAATGAAGTTCTAAACTTCTTGTGAGTGGCTACCCAACGCTAGCTTCATCTGCTAGTACGTAAGAGATCCTAGTGCCTCCTCAGAGGCCAGCCTGACCATCATGGGACCGATGATTCAAGGACTGACGGACGACCAAAACAGAGACAAGGGGAATTATTCAACCAGAGGAGGAAAAGAAGGAAAACATGAAAGAAAGAGGGCGAAAGCCAGCCAACTCCAACAGCCTGACAACAGATCTAGGGAAGGTTTCTATAGCACCGACGGAAAAGGACTCCAAGATATAGACCAGATCTTTTCTATGGTAAATAAAACCACTTAGCACGTTCTTGCCGTATACAATACATTAATACAAACCATAACGTCCTTCCTCACATTTACTTTACATAGGTGTCCCGTCATTTCAAAACTGTCAATTATTACAAAGCTTCATACCAATAATAATAATATGATCTAAGAATGCAGCCTACGGTTTAGCATAGCTATTTGTCTCTGCCTGCCTGAATCAACATGCAAATGCATAACCCGAAACCCGGAAATGAATTCACACCCATTGCTTACTGTGTAATACTAGCATTTAACCTCTCCCAACACACAACACAAACACACTTCATACATAAAACAAGTTGGAACGACCTAATTTAACTGGCACACAACAGTGACAGTGCCCCGACTGCACATGGAGGCATTTGCCTATACAGCCAATACCTGCCATGTTTGGGGAACTGCTGCTTATGGCAGACACTAAGACAAAAGCTGCAACAGCGCTCAAGGAGGCTTTGTTTACCCCCTAGTCTTTGTTCGCTTCATTCCGAGGCTGTTTTGGAAGGGGGATAAAGGGCCAGACATCGGAGAGCCTTCCTCACGAAGTGTACCATTCAGCATTGCAAGCTCTCGCAACTGTTGTTTCTTATAGAAATCTTGGGATTCATCCTATTTTTTCGAAATATGAAATAAAAGAATTAAGTGAAAGCATATAAATAATATTAATATCATCACAAGACAATGAAAAAATTTACTCACCATAGGGTTGAGCAAATCTTCAAGTATCTCCCGGGCTTGCATTAGGCGAGCATCAACTATTTCAACAGGTAATTCTGCCTCAACTAGGATATGAAGAGGTTCATTCAGGTGTTCATAGCCAGGTTTTCCTCTCAACATTTCCTCCTTCACAAATTTTAAGACAGGTCATTTAAGTTTATCCATATTTTAAGGCGTGCAATACTTTCACTTAAATATTTTTTTTAAAAAAATATGATCACATATTTACCAAACTTATTTAAGGAGCAATTATTACTCATTAAGGTGCAAGGAAAAGGATGACTACCCTAGCTGGATCCTTGATACTGCCCAGTCCTCTTATAAGGACACGGCAATCCGTATTGGCCTCAACACGCTTAAGAGAGTTACCCCTAGGACCAAGAAGGCGCCCAACAAAATTGTACTGCAACATTAAAGTTCATTTAGACACAAATATGAAATGTTCTAAAATCACTGCGAAGATGAGTTCATTCATACATTGGGATATTTGTCAACAGGAATATCCACTCTGATTGTTCTCTTAACAATAAGACCGGAAGAGCTACCCTGAGAATTCATCCAGTACTTGGTTAGAGAGGGTTGCATTGACCCTGGTATCTGCACCATAATATTCAAGGTCTTGTTAAAAAAAACAAATAAATAAGACATTAACAGATCAATGCAAACGTCTTCCATTGTACAAAGATATCGACTGACAAAGAATATCAACAAATGAGTAAAACCTGAGGTTCAAGGACTATTTAGTCTAAAAGCAGCAATTTAAGAGTTTTTGGATAAATGATTCCTACTAGCAGAGTCATCCTAAAAGAACTGAAGCTTAAGTAACACCATATAATACTACAGCTAGCTATCATCCCCGGTCATATCTGATTTTGTCTTGACAATGAAAGAAACCTGAGAATGAGCCTGAAACATTTTCTAAGATAAAATTAGTTTTCAGAACTTCTTCATGTTAGCCTCAGATTTCCTGTCAAAAGAGAAACGACAATACAAACTATATCTCAAATAAAGGTTAGGTTAGCATGAAATGTAGTAAAGTATTAAGTCAGCAATACCTCTAAAAGCAGTAAAATTAGATGGTAAAGAGTTGTGTTAATGGTTAGTAGCCATACTTCTGATTGAAACCATGATATCCATCTGTTCACATCAACTCCTCCATTTGAAAACATTCCTCCAGAAGTCAGGGGGCTAGCTTGTTCAAGCCCACTTTGACCTAAAACTGATGCATTGCCCAACAGTGTAGTTATACGCAAAATTTCTGCTCCAAAAATGTCATTTTCAAGAATAAGATGTACCAGTTAGCGTTAAGAAATCAGTTAGCTGTCACCACAAAATGGAGAGACTATACGCAATGTTAATTTAGTCAGTTAAATATCAGCTATGGCTTCATGAATTAAGCTACTCTCCGAGCTGAAAGCAATCTAGTAAGAAAAGAAATGAAAGGTGCAACAGAACTTTATATCGGTTTACTTTTAAATCAATATAAATATTTTTACATTAATTAAAAAAGAATTATTTCACCTGCTATTCCACAAAACCATAGAGGAATCAAAGAAACTGTTAGAATCAGAAATCATAGAAGATGAAAAGGAAGAAAAAAAACACAACACACACACATTGTAGCAAGGTGGCTTTTGTACAATAACAGAGAGAACATACAACCATCTATTGTGGCTAGAAGCTGGCAACTAAAGTCTCTCACAACTAACCTAAAAGAACTAAATCTTACAGGCAAGTTCCTCAGGATACCTTGGGATCGTATGATGAATTCCCACCATAGACTGCTTCCTAAGATAAATACCACCAGAATCACAAGCTTTCCCCTCTGCAACTCTTTCTTCATATCCATTCTCTTCCCTCACCACTGTCAGTGTGGTTCAGAAACTTCCTTTTTCTTCCCTCTTTGTTCCTATTCTATTCTTCTCCCTTATTTATGACAGCAGTAGCATCCTCTTATTTCTTATTTATCCTTCACTTCCATTCCTTCCTAAGAAGTGTTTAACCATCCGTTGTTACATAGAAGGGCATCAAAGATCATGAAACATCACTATATTGTTTTTTAACTAACTTAGAACCATAATTTCTGTTGTATCATCATTGCTCCACCCTAAATAAATTGAAAAGAGCATGCATGTATCCAATGGAGGGCTAAAAATGCTCTCAGTTGGACCTCAAACATAGATCCACCACGTCTCGGTCATGGTCAGTTCTATCAACATATTGTCATGAAAGAAGGGCCATGATTTCCTTCACAAGGTTTGCCAATAGAATTAACTTCAACAGGATATTAAGTAAAGTTTGCGTTAGTGGATCTTAATTACCATTTCAACCGAGTTACTTGTCAAGTTGGTATTTGGCAATTAACCGTTAGATTTAAATTGATGTTTTAGTGATGACAAGTAGGGAAGGAGATATTTCTGCATGATCCTTTGACAACGAAAAAGAGGATTATTACTTAGACGAACTCACCCTGGTTCAACAGTCTACACGTATGAGGGATCACTGACATAAATGGAGTAAGTTTGTAACGCTCCTCCAGTAACTCTGAGAGATATCTGCGAAAGGGAAAAAAGAAGCCATAGTCAATAATCGATTGACACATCCATCTAAACAAGGTGATGCTAAAGTTGAACAAAAGTCGGTAATGAGAATTCCAAACAATCCCCGGTTTATTTAGCTTCTCCTGAAGGGATGTCAATAGTTATTTGTGGATATCAGACAGAAGACCTTTTTGCAATTCAGATATTGTAGATTAGGATAATATTAGAATTTTCTACTTACTATCTGCAGGGATTCAAATTAGATGCGGATATCCATTATCGGAATCTGCTTTAGTTCAATAAATAATGGATTTGGATATAGTGATAAGCAATTAACAGTTTTAATTGTTAAAATATTTAGACTTAGATTTTAGCATATTCGAGTTTAACACGATAATAAACAGATTAAGATCTTAAAGCAAATTCGCAGATTCAGATATTACAAAAATTGCAGTTGTTCAACCATCCCTCTTGATCCAGACACTTATTTCCGGATCAAAACTTAAACCGCAACCCCATCCTCACACACATACAAGACTAGAAATTTAACGAGTCCAAAATTTGAATTGATCCGTTAGTAAAATCAAACCGAAAAGCATAATATGTTCAAAAACGAACGATCAAGCTCTAGATCTACGAAATTGCAGCAGAAGGGAGCTAAAAAAATCTTATTAACAGTAAGCCAACCAATCATAAGCCAAAAGAAAGATCAGAGTCAAGATCACTACGTTAACTGCAAAGCGAAGATCGCAAACGAT